AAAAAAAAAAAAAAAAATTATATCCAAGCATAGTGGTATGAGTTTGTAATTTGTAGTGTTACTAAATGGGAAGCGTAAACTTTTAATTATTTTTGCTTCCATATTTTGTTATTTTAATTCCATTGTAAGAAAGTTCTGTAATACATTTCATGATAATATGATGCTATACTCATTGCTTGACAACTTGTGACATTCCCAATGCAATATTAGACAATTTCGGGGTTTAACTTGAGAAATATTGAGAAAAGTATAAGAAAATTAAACATTATTGCAGTTGGGTACTTGGGGCATCTATGTCCTTACTAAAGTTGGTTTAATGTGCTTTTTCAAACACCAGGCCATTGGAAATGATGATTCGGATGACGGTTCTCGTTCTATAGAAACAAAATCAAATCCAGTATTGGACCTTAGAACTATTAGTGATTCTGTTATTTTAGTTAACGACCAACTAAGGGCACGTGAGAAAAACTCGACTAGTGCTTCTGAAGATATACTTCGTAATGAGGCCCAGAGATCTATGGGAGAGATTTTGTCCTCAATGAATCAAGAGCCCCATCAACCAGTCACTGGACCCAACCTACCGACTGAGAAGGAAATACTCAAATCCACTAATACGAGTAATGGTAGTGCCAAAAAGGGGCCATTTTGGGGAAAGAAAAATGTGAGTTCTTTTTTTATTTATTTTCCCTCCAACATTGGTTTCTCTGTGAATTTTCACTTTTAGTGATGCCAGAAGTCAAATTTCTTGAACATGGTGTAAGCCTTCTAATAAATTCTCCATAAATATGTACACGATGATATACAACCTGTGCAGAAATTGAAACTGGTATACAACATTGGTTTCTCTGTGAATTTTCACTTTTAGTGATGCCAGAAGTCAAATTTCTTGAACATGGTGTAAGCCTTCTAATAAATTCTCCATAAATATGTACACGATGATATACAACCTGTGCAGAAATTGAAACTGGTATTATTTTTAACTGCTATATTAACTTATTACCGATTTGGCATATCAGGGTATCATGGAACATGGATTTCGTGATTTGATTTCTGATGTTTGAGTGATTGATTAAATTTCAAACTTCTATTTGTAGTTTTTATACTACATTCATAAATCATATACTTGGACCAGTCAAAGTTATTTTTTTGATCTTGCAGGCCAGGAAATCTCCTTCAACAGGATCGATTGATTCATCTGGAGAGGAAGAGTAGGATTATCTTACGTCATATATATGCATTTCTTTGTCTATTATAAAAAAATTATTGCACTCTTCTTAAGTTTTAGGAATTTTGTGTTTCCATAATTTACAATTTTTACGCATGAATGGAGCTCCTTTTTTCCCTTTCACCTTTCCCTTTTTTTATTTTATAAAGAAATACAGTTCCTATTTTATTTAGTAAAGAACAGAGTTCCTATTTTATTTTATAAAGAAACACAGTTCCTCAATATGTTCGCGTGGAATTGTTTTCATTTGTAGGCTTGCCATCCAGAGACTGGAGGTAGCTAAAAATGATTTGCGCCAAAGAATTGCGAAAGAGGTAAGTAATTACTTTGACTTGTCAACTTTGGTCATGTTATATTATGTTATTGTGTTGTCTTTCGTGATGATTTTAGCCTTTCTTTTTTTTGTTTGTATTTTAGGCAAGAGGAAATGCAATTTTGCAAGCTAGCTTGGAGAGAAGGAAGCAAGCTTTGCATGAAAGGCGATTGGCACTTGAACAAGATGTAAGTATTGTTTCTGAATGCTTAAAATGAATCTTTTTTACATCCCCAAATCCTAAGGGTGTTCCTTTATCCTTAAAACTATGTTCTCAGCCCCCCCTTTCATGCACATAAACCTCTGGTATTTTCTGACCGCCGTTCGTATTATTTTCTATCTTCTATAGGTAGCAAGACTGCAAGAACAATTGCAAGCTGAGAGAGAGCTTCGTGCTGCTCTGGAAGTTGGCCTAAGCATGTCTTCTGCGCAATTTCCCGGTTCTCATGGCATGGATTCCAAGGTCTCTATTGTATCTATTATTTTTCCTAACAATTTGGAATTATTAAACATGTCATAAGTGTTTTTGTTTCAATACAAAGACGAGGGCTGAACTCGAGGAGATAGCTCTTGCCGAGGCTGATGTTGCGAGACTGAAGCAGAAAGTTGCCGAGCTTCACCATCAGCTTAACCAGCAACGTCAGCATCACTACGGCCCGCTTTCTGATGCACGCGAACGGTATCAACATATTCCGAACCAAAATTTGCAGCAGTGAGTTCAAGTACCTTCAGTGTGTTTTCGGATTGAGGAATATTACAAAACAATACTCTCAAGTCTGAAAGCTTTTCAATTTAGTTTTTTATGATTATTTGAAAGTAATAAAATCGTATTGCAAAATTATTGAAAAAGTCCAGCGCTATTTTGATAAACACAATGTCAGTCAAAGTAATAATTTGCAACAGATTTTTAAAAAAAAAAGCAAGTAAGAAGATAAAATTGTCAGAAGTGAAATCGAATTTGTTAATTGAAAGTGTGATTGGATATAGATTATTTTGGAAACAATTGTTTGAGTGAAAAAAGTGAGTTAAAGAATGGAAAAAATTATTTGGGTGAAAAAGTGAAATATACATTATATAAATGGTTGGTAGTTAGAAATATGTGTGTGAATGAATATAAAAATTTGTTGAAAAATGTATAGTAGTGATTGATTTTTATTATTGTGTTTATAAGATTGAGAGGAGAAAAAAAGCAGGAGTAGATGGATAACGAATTTTTGAGACAAAAATTTGTATCCAACCGTAGATCGAGCAACAAAAATTTGTCCGGCGGGACAAAGTTGTAAGCCCTTGGCTGTTCTTAGAATGTGAAAAAGTGCAACATCTGGGTACTTGTTGTATTAACTCAATTTAAATCCCTAACCTTTTAGTGTACTTTTTGTGATTTAAAATTCCTCTCTAGGAAGGCTTGAACTCGATCATTTGAGATCTATCAGTGTGTTTCTGATATATAATATAAGCAGCTTAAGGTATGTTTACTTGCTCCTGCATGCAGAAAATATTTCCAGCAAGACTTTGATACGACTCTCGCTGTCTGTAACAACGAGAGGAAACAAAGGACAGAGGTAAACCACTCTCCTATTGCTTCTCAAAATGCCATATTACTTGTAATTGACATTCCCTTGTAACATGGTTATCTAATGGTTTTTGCAGGAGTTATTGGGTTCGGACTCGAGAAATGTTAAGGGACAAATATCGACAGCTGGTACCAATAGCAAGCTTTCTTCCAGGAAGAACTTAGTGGAGTCGCCTAGCATAAGTAATTCCAAAAGTACTGAAGCATCCACAGGTTTATCTGCGGACGATCTCGGTGCTGTTGATTCTGCATATTTGCCTTCTACTTCTAGAACAGCTGAGGTGAGCTTTGAAATGTTACTTTTGACAGTTTTTTTACTAGCCATAAGTCCAAGGTTAAAATTGGGCGTTTATGCTTGTTCTATTTCACCAATTGCAAAATAGGGTGATATTTGTTAAGAAAATGAGATTTACCTCGGGAGGATGATTGTAATAACTTATTTAATTCAAATTTTACGTGTAGTTTTCTGAGTCATCCCTAGTTTTACTCACTTGATTAGAAAAACACGTCAAAAGTTTGTGTGGAACTCGTGAAATATGATTGTTTATTATTTTTTTTTATTTTCAATGCTCAACTTGCTGATTTATCCCAGGTGATGGATTATCCTCGTCATCCATCAGCAGCATCCTCGACTCTAGTGGAGTTGACAACACGTCTTGATTTTTTCAAGGAAAGAAGGTCTCAGTTAATGGAGCAACTCCAGAACTTGGATTTGAACTATGGATCAATTAATCATCAAGATTTTGTGTACAAACCATCATCTCCTCCATGGAGCTAGCTAGCTGACCCGATGATCGAGCTGGAGCTTCGCTTGAGTGTGTTTTAAAACATACGGATTTCTTGAGTGTGTTTTAAAACACACGGATGAAATCGTGATTCCCTTTTTGTATATTGTCTGCAGAAAATAATAGTATATAGATTATTGTTCTATGTATTTACTATATTGCTTTGAGTTCTTGGTTTGTTTCTCTGTGTTGGCTTACACAGAGAGGATGTAAAGTGTCTAGGCTCGTCGAATTTGTGTTGTTATATTTCTTGTTCTACTACTACTGCATTTTTTGTTCATTGTTTTTAAGAACTTTATTGGAATCTGTAAGCAACATGATGGACAAGGATGTTGGCGATCAGTGTAACAATCATGTTTTGTAAAGTAATTTGTGGAGTTGGTCAACCATGTCTGTGTGCCAAAGCTTCCGTGTATCTCATTTCACGTGATTTATTATCCGATTCATCACACGAGTACGAATCTCGTGCAATGCACGGATAAGAGATGTTTATTGATAATATTATAAATTAAAAATATGGAATTAATATGTAATATAATTTACTTATATTAATTTATTGAAAATATTGTATGAAATTTAAATTGTGCAAAGTTAAATAAAACACGTCTATTTAAAATTAGTCTACAATCCGTATGGTGCACGTAACTTGTAATAGATTATTTTTTTTTTTTCATTTCAAAATAAGTGTTATTTTTAAAATTTTTATTCAGAAATTCGATTTGAATACAATGTGATTAGATATCAATTTTTCAAGATTCTCTTGTTGAGAGCCCAGATTCTCTCGTTGAGAGCTTCCATAGTTTCTGTTTCCTTCCCTTTCTCCATCAGTTTTGATTTTCAGTAATTTCATATCTGTCTTGGGGTTTTCCTGATTCTATCGACCCTATTTTCCCGATTTCTCGTCACCTAGGGTTTCTGAATGGCGAGTAGCTCCAAGGCCTCAGATGATGAGGATCTGTCCTCTCTCCTTAATGACTTCTCCTTATCGGAAAGAGAAGTTAACGTCATTGATATTGCTCAAAGAGATATACGCACTAGCGATGATGAATGTCAGCGAAGTTTATTCGGCAAAGTCATTGGTGATGGGGCGGCGGGCTGGTTTGGTATTAAACGGGCAATGAACCAAATTTGGAAGCTGAATCAACATATGGAAGTCAAGGAACTAAGCCCAAACTATTTTCAGTTCATTTTCGAAAGTATGGAGGACAAGTCGAGAGTTGCCAGCGACTCAAATTGGACCTTTGAAAATCAGTATTTGATTCTCAGGGAGTGGATTCATCAGCTTAATAGTCAGCATCCCACTTTCAATGAGATTAATCTATAGGTTCAAGTCATCAACTTGCCTCTAAACTGGACGAGTACTGAGGTTGGGCTCAAGATTGGCAAATCCTTCAAGGAAGTTAATAACATGGTAATTGTCAACACAGGTAATCATGGAGGTAAATTGCTTCGCCTTCTAGTCACCCTTAATCTTGATGAACCCCTTCCTCGATTTGCTAAGATCAGACTGGGAGATCATCTAGTATGCGTGAGGTTCAAATATGAAAAACTCTTTAACCTGTGTCACTATTGTGGAAAGATTGGGCATCTGGACCGTACTTGCAGCAAGAGAATTCTAGATATCAAGAACAACTCCTTGAAGGAAGGTCAGTATGGTGACTGGCTAAGGGTTACTGACGACTCTAAGTGGGTCGACACTAATCTCTCAGGCTCTAGAAATTCTCCTCCTATGAACTCTCACTCGGACTCAGAACAAATAACCTCACAAAAAGCTTCATCAAGTCAAGCTGTCCAGAGCAACCAGATTGTTCATGTGAGGGAGGAATCTTACACTCCACCCATCCAGAAAGAGAAAAACCAGATATCTTTAACTCCTGAAAAGCTAGACTCAGCTACATCTATCTCTTCCTTCTCAGAAAAAACAGCAGGCAAAGAGGCCCTTGTTGAATCAGGATTTCAGTTAGTGGATCCCTCTATAGTGATGGAGGTGGAACATCCCGGGGAAAAGAGTGCTCCTAAATAGGTTGATCAACAGATGCAACTCACTGTTCCTCTCACCAAGACTTGGAAAAGGCTTGGTTCGAAATCGGGCAGATTGCAAAGGGAGCCAGTTATTCCTATTGTCATTGCTCAAATCTCAGGAACTAAAAGGCCTTCCTCAGAAGGTGAGTCTCTTGATTTTTCTAAAAGCTCTAAAATCTCAAAAGTTGATGAAAGTTCTTATTTAGCTGAGAATGTTGAGAAGGTCGGGGTTGCCAGCCTTGAATGGCACCCCAGTGACCAATGTAAGCTGTGGTGTGGAACTGTAGAGGGCTGGGTGGGCCCTCTATAATTTCCCAAATTAGAGAGTTATTGAAAACTCATCACCAAAATTTTCTCTTCCTCTCTGAAACCAAAAAATCAACTGCTTTTGTAAATACTGTCAGTAAGAAGCTTGGGGTTTGAAGACAGATTTATCACTGTTAATCCTTCTGGGCTTAGTGGTGGTCTGGCCTTATTTTGGAATACTGAGTTTGTTTTTAATCAAGTTGTATGCAAAGATTTCTTTATTGCAGTGGAATTCTCTGTTTCTCCTCCTATTTCTCAATGGGGAGTATTTGTGTACTGCAACACTAGTAAATCAGTTAGACTTACTCAATGGGAAATTTTGTTGAATGAAAAATCTTCTTGGGGCCTCAATCGGTTTGCAATTGGGGATTGGAATGACATCCTTCACCAAACTGATAAGGTGGGTGGTTTATTCAGACACCCTAGTTCTTTCTCTGGTTTTTCCTCTTTCACCATCAGTATGGCCATGGATGAAATCACTATGGATCCCTTTTACCTGGTGCAACAACAGAGCTCTCCCTGATCTTGTGGAAGAAAAACTAGATAGAGGTTTTTGCTCCTTTGATTGGGCTCAGCTCTACCCAAATGCTAAGGTCAAGAATGTTCTCAGGGGTGCCTCTGATCACACAACTCTGGTGCTTGACATGGGGATTCCCAGGGAAAAGAGAAAAAGCATATTCCATTTTGACAAGAGATGGTTGAGTATGGATGGTTGTGTAGATGTGATAAAACAGGCTTGGTCTTCTACAGTCCTGGGCACACCCTTCTACCAGCTCAAGGAAAAGGTGAACAGGACTAAAATTGCTCTGCTCAAATGGAGTTCCTCCTTCCAAACCTAAAGACAGAAAGACATTGCTGAACGAGTCTCTGAATGCTGACAAATCCAATATCAACTGGTATGAATGGGAAACAACTAGGAGAGAGTTGAATCTGGCTCACAAGAAAGAAGAATTATTTTGGCAGCAAAAGGCCAAGTCAAGATGGCTGAAGGAGGGGGATGCTAACACTAGATTTTTCCATGCCCTCACCATGCAAAGAAGAAGGACCAATGCCATCACTAGACTGGTCTCTTCCCAAGGCAGAGTTTTCACTTCTCAGACTGATATTGCTAGCCACATTTCTGAGTTTTACACTAATCTGTTCTCTACTGAAGGATGCTGGGGTGGGGATTTAGTTCTTCCTCTTATTCCAACAACAATTACTGAAGAAATGAATCATGCCCTTCTTAAGCCTGTGGAAGCAGAAGAAATCAAAGCCACCCTCTTCAGTCTTCACCCTGAAAAATCTCTTGGGGAGGATGGAATGACTGCTATCTTCTATCAGAAATTCTGGCATATTGTTTGCTCTGATCTCATTGCTGTTGTCTCTAGTTTTTTCCAGTCAGGTATGATGCTTAAATACAAGAATCACACTATTATTTCTTTAATCCCCAAGTGCCAAAATCCTGAATCTCTGGGACAGTTTAGGCCTATAAGCCTTTGCAGGGTTGTGTACAAACTGATCTAAAAATTTTTAGCTCAAAGGCTGAAAATATGTTTAAACAACTGCATTAGTGATTTTCAAGCTGCTTTTGTGGAAGGCAGACAGTTAATGGACAATGTGATTATTGCACAAGAGGCCTATCACTTTCTTAATAGGCACTCTTTTGGAAAAAAATTTTTTATGACTCTCAAGCTGGATTTAGTTAAGGCCTTCGACAGAGTTGAGAGGATTTGTTTGAAAAAGATAATGATTCAGATGGGGTTTCATTTGGACTTTGTTAAGCTGATAATGTTTTGTTTATCCTCTGCTACGTTTGCCTTCAAAATAAATGGTTCTATTAGTGAATTTGTTTCTCCTTCTAGAGGAATCAGGCAAGGGGATCCTCTATCCCCTTACCTGTTTATCATTGTTGCAGAATTGCTCTCAGCTCTTATTCAAAACTCTATCAATCTTGGTTTATTCAAAGGAATGAGGATTTCCAGAAATGGTCCTCTATTGTCCTATCTATTATTCGCAGACGATTCCCTTTTCTTCTGCAAAGCAGGTTCTGACCAAGCAACTACACTCATGATGATTTTGGAACAATATAGATTATTCTCAGGAAAAATTGTCAATCTGCAGAAGTCTGCAATTTTTTTCAGCAAGAACACTCCACTGCCTCTTCAGAACTCCATCTGTGCATCTCTTAATGGCATTGTCTCACAAATCAACTCGGTATCTTGGCCTGCCTCTGGGAATTGGTAAGGCTAAAAGAGAAGCCTTTGCTTATCTTCTTGACTCTGTTAAAAGGAAGCTGCTCAGCTGGAAGTCTAAGTTCCTTAGTTCTGCTGACAAGGAGGTTCTATTGAAGGCAGTCATTCAGGCCCTTCCTACTTTCTCTATGTCTTGTTTTAAGCTCCCTCTTTCATTATGTTCTGACATTGCTAAGTTGTGTGCTCAGTTCTGGTGGCAGTCTAATAGAAAAAAAGCCCAAGGCATACACTGGAAAAGGTGGAGCATCTTAACTCTACCCAAGCTGCATGGAGGAATTGGGTTTCTTGATCTCCAACTCTTCAACAAAGCTCTTCTCTGCAAACAGCTTTGGAGGATTGTCACTAACCCTGATCTTTTGGTGAGCAGATTATTGAAAGATAGATATTCTCCACAGACCTCTCTGATTCATGCTGGCAAAACACAAGGGGGT